AACGCGCTTTTCCTTACACTTTGTGCTTTTCCCAGAAAGCGTTTTTAGTAGGCCTACTTGTAGGCCTAGGTAATTATGCAAAACCCAGGCCTAACTAAAAAATTGAAATTGTCATAATATGTAACTCAAGTTAAAATAACACTTTTCATTACTCGTGCAGCTTAATCAAATATTATATGTCATTTTAAACGACCCATTGGTATTAACATGGTAACATCAATGTATTTTTAAAAATCAGACAGCAACGTTCTCTCAGAAGTTGGTTGTTCTGTAGACGTTTATCTGTTGATGACCTTTTGACCTCCTGAATTCTGCAATGAGATTTTCGGGTCGATTCAGCCGAGACGGCCCGAGTGGAGTTTCATGTAAATGTTTCGTACGGAAAAAAAATCGCATACGGGCATACCGTCAAAACTCGAATAAAAGCCCAATGGGCTCATTCTTGAGAAGAAGCCCAACTGGAATTGAAGCCTCCCCCTCCCTCTTTAGTTTGCAAAACTTATAGCCTCGAAAAGAAGCCCATCTCAAAAAAAAAAAAAATCCTGGAAAGAAGCCCATGTCGGGCTTCTTTTCAAGATAGCACGAGCTTTTTCTTTTAGATAGTAGGCTACAACACTGTACATGAATTTAAAAGAAACACAAACAATTAAAAACATGCTTGGTTTATACAGTAGTTTAGGTATGGACCTAGGTGATTTGATACAGATTGATGTTACAGTGGCCTATTGTTTTATAGGAGTAATTCCCAAAATTTACAGCATTCATTTTTAAAAGAAGCCCCACTCTCTACATTGCAAAATTAGCTTCGAAAAGAAGCCCATCTCGAAAAAGAAGCCCAACTTCAATTTGAGGTTATACCGTCGGTATTGTATAGCCCTTTTTCACGAATCGGTAGACATCTTGAAGTGATGACAAACATTGCGAATCAGCGGTGCGTAACCAACAGAAATAAGATAAGCTTTGGGGCGGATTTTCTGACATCATGTTGTTTAAAAAATCATAACTCCATAACGGGGCGTCGTATCCAAAAAATGTTTCCAGGAAAATGTTCTTAAAAGACCAGTCAACACCACTATATGATTGAAAAAAAATTGAAAAATTTTTTTGACCTCTGAAATCAAGATTGAAAAAGAAAAGCCTATCTTAGTAGTGTATTAAAATAGGCCAATGAATTACAGTGCAGTAGCATAGGACTTTCGTGTTGTTACTGTTCCAAGTAGCGATAATATACATATTTCTCTCATTACAAAGTACAAGTTATGTTTTATAAAGAGGTATAGTATAGTAAATCATGTTTTTAACACAGGAAACTCTCATATGGTACGGTAACTAAAACAATGCTAGTTCAGAGTATTACTAGTACTACAGCACTGTAATGCATATACCTATTACATATGCATAATACCTATACCCGCCAAAAAGCTTATCTTATTTCTGTTGGTTACGCACCGCTGATTCGCAATGTTTGTCATCACTTCAAGATGTCTACCGATTCGTGAAAAAGGCCTATTTTATACAGTACTACATATCGTCTTTCCGGCTTTTATGATGGCTGTCAACAGTGGAGATTCTATTGAGGGCGCAATTACTAAAAATAAGCCTAGAATCAAAGAGTATCTCTTCTTTAAATTTGCTAGAATGAGGTTAACTAACTGTATAAAATAGGCCAAGGCTAAAAGCGGCGCTATACGATTCTTGCTAAAACTGCCAAACAACCTGTAGCAAAACTATACTTTTTGCTACCATTCTTACCCGATTTTGCCGATCGAGAATTCATTCATACTTCACGCAGGAGAGGTGTTGATTGCCAAAGAACAAATTTAACAAGGTCTGCGTAAGCCTATGCTTTATAGTAGTAATAGGATGTTATCTTTCGTATATGGTACCCTAAAGCGTGGACAGCCCAATCACAATCTTCTGCAGGCTACATCGAATGGTAAAGGAAGGTACATAGGTAAGGCTAGGACACTCGAAAAGTGGCCCCTGGTCGTGAGCTCGCGATACAACATACCGTACATCTTGGATTGTGCAGGAAAGGGAAACGTAGGTAACTTTGATTTTAACATGTGTCAAAACTAGGAAGGTACTCCACCCGGGTATTCTCCGAGTCCTAGGTACGCCTATAAATGGGGAAACAAGATAGTGATAATACTGGAGATGGAACATCTCCAAATGACTGTCCCCCATGCCATGGAACATTCATTTGGTGATGTTCCATACTATCTTGTCTCTTGTCTCCCTACATATACATATACTGTATATATATATAATCTGTGTTGTTGGCTTAAACCAGATCATGTAGACAAGAGTGCTCAATGCAGTATATAGCAGAGCAGATAGACAAATAAAACATGTAACACTAGGTTAAAGACTCAACATTTTTTACTGCATAGAACAGTATACATTTCCAATAAATAAATTGCGCACTGTGTACTCTGTGTTGAATTACTATTGGGGTCGGATTACCAAGTTTGAACTCTGTCTCTTATACACATCTAGATGTGTATAAGAGACAGCTCCTAGATACATACCTGCCTAATTATTGATTGTCTAAAGGAAAAGGACTATACTGAAAAATAAATAAATAGCTTTAATTAAAGATGTTGAACACCCTCTTAGTAAATATTTCATAACAAAACGAAATGGCAGACTAATGTTCCAATAACTAAAACAAACAGATCAAGATATGCTTTTGTTGCAAATGCCATTCAGATTATTAATTTTCATCATCTGCGATAACAATGATTGGCAACAACAACAATAATAATAATAATAATAATAATAATGATAATAGTAATAATAAAAAAAAATAATAATAATAATAATAATAATAATAGTAATACAACTATGATGATGGCAGTCATAATAATAATAATTATAATAATATTAATATTAATGATAATAACAGACAGTTTTAAGGAGCTTTTTTTCATTTTTAATAGTTTTTAATAAATTTTATAATTCTTTTATATACAAGATTTTATACAGGGGTCTTAACTGTCTGTACTGCAGTGTTTTATCATGTATCTTCTGTTTTTTATTATATATTTTGTGGATGTGTGCAATTAATTATTAATATTTACTAATTATATTTGCCAGTCTTTAAGAGGAATTTCTGTTATTTTATGATGGACAAATAAAGCAATTCACTATTCAGTATCTACAGGTACTGCACGTGGTGTATTACTATATTTTTTTTTATCTCGCTCCTTATATGATCAAGTTAACAGCCTGGTATTGAACTGCTATTTCAGAATGTTACAGGTGAAGTATATGAAATTGATGATAAAATGCTTGCTGCATTAGACAAACTGGAGGCTCACCCAGTCTATTACCAACGTACTGACATTCAGGTCATGATGTATGAAGATGCAGATGGTAGACCTCTCCAGAGCCAAAGTCCTATCAACTGCATGTTCTATGTGTTGAGGAATTATAAAGACCACTTGTTGAATCTAGAATTTTTGGAAGAGTATAAAGATAGCGAACCACTGAAATACTGTACACACGGTGAACGAACAGATGTAGAGGACCATCGAGGAGATGTTATGCACATTTAGATATGAATTGTAGTGTCTCGGGTGTAAGCCCACCCTCTGCTGTAAGCCTAGTTTTTACATCAGCCTTTCCTTGAGCAAAAGCCCAGGTTTGAATGAGTAGCTTAATTATCAAACATTGGCTTTGAATTATGCATAAAAGTGCTTGCGAAATTGATCGATTTTTCACTGAAAAGGAAATACTGGTCTCCCTCCAATTAAAGACCACTTTTGGGACCGGAGTTTTTATAGTCTTTAGCTGTTTTGGTCTCTAATTAGAAAATTAAAGGTAAAAGACATTTGTTAATTTGGGACCACAGAAAAGTGATCTTTAATTGGAGGTGGTTTTTAACTGAAGGGGTCTTTAATTAGAAGGAGACCTGAAGCCACAACTTCGGCTTAATTTTGTGTTCAAGGAGTGGGCTTATACCAGAGAAGCAACAGTATTCTATTTTAATGTTATTTTAATTATTCAATGGTTGTGCCACGGATATGTTATTCCATTTAACAATTTCCTTGTTAAATGAATATGCTGTCACAATGATTTTTTTTTTATACAATTCTGGTGCCTTGTGAATTAATTTGTTTTAGTAGGTATACTGCACTATAAACGTCTTCCTTGAAGTACATGAAATACTATATAAATATCAAATTATTATTAAAATCATTGTAAATCATAATAATTTAGTATTGATTTTACTCAGGGCAAGTCATTTGGTTTGTATTGACAATTATATATATTAATTGAACAATAGGTTTGAAAGTCCTCATTTTAAAAAGGATATAATGAATAGCAGTTCTACAACCTTGTTTAAAATAGATTTATACTGTATGACCAAATACTAGTAATATTTTAGGTTTAACAGAACTTCAGTACTATGTGTGTTATTCCAAGGCAAGCCATTACTTTTACAAATTGTAATTCAAGTTTAACTTATTTGCTTGTTTAATATATATTGTTGTTTATTTTATTTATTTGTACACAACAATATTTTCTCTCATTGCAAGTTGACTCATGTACATCATGTAGGTACAGTACATCTGCAAAGCAATAATCATAAAATTATTCGTTTGATTATTGCATTTAAATTTGTTCCATCCAAATTTTACATGTTGCAGACTCATGTAACATGTGTACAATTTTTTATGAAAGAATTATAAAGAGCAAATCCTTGAAAGAGTGGTGGATCCCCATCCCCCTCCCCCACCTAATTTTGAAAATTTGAGACAGGGTGGTCCTGAAATCAGTAATAAAAATAAAATGAAAATGTATTATTGAAAAAATTATGGAAAATCTGGCATTTGGCCACAAAGAGTAGATGTGGATTTATCATGTATCCACACTCAGTGCATTAAATTCTAAAGGGCGTGGCAATTTCTTTTTAATTTTCAGATTGTGGTTATCAATAAATTTTATTGGGTTAATTAAGTTGATTTCTTGTCATATTTTTGTAGTCAATTATGACACAGTTGGTCACCTATAAAATAATTCACAGTCGGCATATTTGCAGTGCAAACGAACCGACAAGGCAAACTGATCACTCAAATTATGCAAATAAGCAATATATAAACAGAATGGCTAGATGGAAGAGACCAGGAATAAACAAAGCGTCCTGGATGAAGAAACATGTCACTTTCAATCTGCGCTAGTTTCTTCTTCAGTTTGATGGTTTTCCACTTCCAACGGATAAACGCGATGCCAGACATATCAGATAATAAAAGGTGAAACATTCAGACATTTGTCCATCCTACGATTACAAGTACTGTACAGTAACTATAGAATGTTAGACTTCCAAAGAATTATATAATGGATATCTCTGCTAAGCACCCTCTCTCTCTTCACCCACCTCCCCTTGGATATTGTTGTTAGGTCCCACAAAACAGTCTCGAAACATGCAAACATGTGTTTGTAGAACACTGGCATATTCCTGGCCAATTTCTTGATTGGTCAGTTTGGTTGACACTCCAGAAAGGTTCATTCTAATTTTAATGTAAAAGTAGAAGTTTTTTTTTTTGCTTTTCATACTCGTAAGCAAAAAAAAAAAAAGAGTAAACAAAGTTTTGCTGCTTGCATACCAGCCCAGGCCTGAGAATCAAGCTGTAAAATAATCAATAAAACAATTGAATATATTATCTTTTTTTTCTTCTAAAACTTAGTGAAGTTTACACAACTCTGGGTGATTTGATCAAGATGGGGATGCTATGATTTTACTGCATAGTACAGTATACATTTCCAATAAATAAATTGCGCACTGTGTACTCTGTGTTGAATTACTATTGGGGTTGGATTACCAAGTTTGAACTAGCAATATTCACAGGTTCTTTCCAGATGAGGTCGTCAGATCAAAAAATAATTTGCCTATCTAAATAAAGTTATTTTGATTGCCAATCCCTAATTCTTATTGTGATTTGAAAGTACAATTTGGACCCCTAAACCCTATTAGTGATTTTTCATCCAGAAGCCCAACCAAGTCTCTAGTTTGCCCCTTGGTTCAGACCCCTCCATCAGACATATCGGACACCTTGGCAAATTTCTGGAGCCACCCCTGATCAACTCACCAACTCTATGGCAATTCCTCCTGTCGTATTTAAGCCATCGATTCATCTCTAAGCTCGCATTCCAGGCCAAATGAATATCCTTGTAGATGCGCTGCCTCCCCTAAAACATACGGAAGGGAGGCTCTGTTATACCGTGACCCAACAAATTTTAACACGTTTGGGTGTCCTAACTTAGATCTGTTCGCGACAAGATGGATCCAAAGTTTTGGCTCGGATACTTTGCATAATCATTGTTCAAAACAGCCTTCCTTTCCTGTAACATACAACTGCTGGGCTATATCAGAATCGAACGTACAGTGTTTGCCTCATTTACAGAGATTTCCTAGCGAAAATGCAGACTTTGCCACCCCTTACTCAGGGGTGGTGCCAGCAGGGCTGGGGGACCCTGTCGGGGAGAAAACCCCAATTCTTTGGGGGGAAAAAAAATGTATATAAATTTTCTACATATTAGTAGACTCGATTAAAAAAGTCTACAAAACCCCTAAATCGTCATGCTTCTTGGGGGCTTTGCCCGCTGGAACAACTTTGAGAAGTTTTTAGCGACGCCCAATTACGACCCGTCCGGGACCTCAAGCTCCCCTGTCGGTCAAATTCTGGTGCCACCACTGCCCTTCCTCCAGTCTGTCTGTCAGTCTGGGGCCCTATGTGTGTGCGAGCTTTGAAGTTCCATATGTTCTGTTTTATTCAATTCAAAGCTGTGTTCTGTTACTACATTATCAAACATATCTTGCAATGTGTGATTCTTGATTATAATAAAATCAAATACTGTATATCACCAATTGATTTTATAATAATCAGAAATCTGGCCCTAATACAACAGACAATGAATTATAATAATAAACATTTGATTACATAAGCAATTATGGTATTTATTCTTTGTTGTAGATATGAAGTACTGTATAGGATGTATTAACACACACTATACACAATTCTGATCAGAAACTGAGATGACCCAGTAGAAGCAAGTAATATACAATACATTATTTGATTAGACATTTTCCAACTTTCAACAGATAACATTAAAAACTGCTTGATAATATGATGTCACAAGCAAATTTTTTTTTGTAACAAATTCTGATCAAACCACCTTATATTATTGTATGGCTAACTTAGTTAAGGTTATGCCATCCCTACGAAACTAGTTGCATATTGTGCTCTTGCCAACTTCCACCAACGATCATGTACCTAGCAGTTGAACTGGCCTAAGTCGCATCCAAAATGGCATTGAAAAGTTGTTCGACTTGAATAAAATTTGACTTACTGATTGTTAATTAATAGAAAACAACAATTTGGCATGTAAAATAAGATCGACTTAGAAATTATTTGAGTTAGGCAAAGTCGCCTTAGGCAAGTTTAACTGCTAAGTATTGCAAGCAACAAGGTAGAAATTGTTTCCTGATTTGTCACTTCTCAAATGTAGTATTTTCTAAAACTTGTTGCCATACAATGCTACCATGATTGTACAAGCACAGTTTGGTGATTGGTGGCGTACCAACTAGTCATGAGGCTCTGAGGTGTCAGGAAAGTATTTATCAAGGGGTGGGTAATCTCCCTCTCTAGTTTCATGGCTGAAAAGGCTCTACTGTATATCATTACTAATGTACTGTGCTATGTAGCAGTAAGAGGAGTTCACGGCCGCTTTTGGTTATGAGCCTGATGCTTCACCTCGCCTCGAGAAGCACTGCACCACTAAGGGCAATATAAGTTTAGCTTAATTGTTAATTAGAATAATATTTAAATACTGTATAATACATCATTAAAGCATGTACCATAAAACATTTTACTGATTCCAGATTTAGTATGGTATTGATTATAATTCATGATGCATAATTTATATTTGAACAAATATTCAAAAACAAAGAGAAATATATATTTACACAATTCTATGTCTTTCAAAAATTATATTATGTTTCCAGACATACCATAACAGATCATTCATTAGTAACACTGTCTTAAAAAAAAGGTGGCATTATTGTACTTCAATCAAATGTACCATCTGTATCTGAAGTAACATCAAAGAGCCAAACTAAATCATAATTAATTTATGAGGAGAATATGAAAATTAAATACTGGCTATCAAGAAATTAAAAATAAGTGACATACAGTATTAAATTGGATAGAAGAATTAAAAATAATTAAAATGTCTTTAAAAATGGTAATCTAAGAATGTTGTAATAGAATAATTAATAGACCCTTTTAGAATGTTAAGACAGTTAAATGATGTTGATATTATTCATCAAATATTTTACAACAGTATTATTGTGATTATGTTGGTTCCTTAATAATCATATACTGTATCATCAACACAATTAATGTTTTACTATTGTTACCAGAGGTGGATTCAGGTTATTTCTGCCAGGGTGTGAAATCCCAACCAAGGACATAATTTTCCAAGAGGAAAGGGTTTAGGAGAGAGTCTACATTTCACATTTTAGTTCAGAATTGTTGCCATTTCCAGTGATGGATCCAGAAATTTGAATATAGAGGGGCCTAAGAAGTCAATTTTACAAATTGGGGGTCCAGACCTAAGCTCCAACATAGTTGGGGCTGAGGTACCAACATTAATGTCGATGGCACTTCTAGATGGCTGGAAAATGCACTACTAGGCTGAAACATTTGAATGAAATTTTCATGCTACCCATTTTTTTTTTTTTTTTTTTTTTTTAATTTTGATACGTTTTGGGCATATTATGACCAAAAGATTTTTAAGAAAAATATTTCCCCCTTTTTTTGGTCATTGAGTTATGAATGACAGGGGCTTTGGCGATGAAACAGAGAAGTGAACTCCCCTGCCCTTAACTGGTGCCACTACTGGTTGGTTCATATTAAATGTAAATTCTTAACATTAATTATTTATTCACTTTATTTGTGATCATTAATTACTATATACTGTGATCATGTCTGTTTGTAAATGTATATGTTCTTGAATGAAAATCCTCAACAACATTTATTGTTTTACTATTGCTTTGATCATATTTTTATATAGATGTGATTAAGTTGTACTATTATCATGATTATGTATTATCTTTATTGTGATCATATATTTTTATTAGTTGTGTGATTATCATGTTAAACTATTGTGATCCTGTTTTACTTTTGTTGTGGTTATATTTTACTGTTGTGATTACATTTTACTTTTGTAATCATATTTTACTACTGCTGTGATAATGTTTTACTTCTGTTGTGATCATGTTTTAGAATGGAGTGATCATGTGTTACTGTTGTTGTGATCATATTTTACTATTGTTGTGATAATGATGGTTCCTAATAAATGTAAATCCTCAACATCAATTTTGTTGCAGTGCTGCGTACTTATTCTGAATTTCTATCTGACTGCTTTTTTTTGTTGGATCTTCTCCACCACGACTGCCTTTTGTAACTGTCTCAAAGTCCCTTTCACTTTCTTTTGTCCTGTAAAACATAATTCAGCATTTTGTAAAGTAGCCTAAATTTAAATCATGATACATTTAATAATAATAATAATAATAATAATAATAATAATAATAATAATAAGATAATATAAACCTTAAACACAGGAGGAGGGTGAAACCAAGGATGGACAAAGTTCCTGTAAGATTTGGCAGCCCAAATATCAAACATGAAAGAAAAATAACAAATGACAATAGCACACAATACCACACAGCAAAATTGCGCAGGGGTGTAGATGTAGAAAACTAAGAGTGGGTGATAGACATTTTAAGGGTGGGTAGGTGATAACATTGGTAAACTCTAAATAAGAGTGAATGGTAAAGTGGGTTAATAAGAGTGGATGGAGTGCCGTGAAATTAGCTTGAGATTGGTTGGAAAACTTCAAGGTATGGTGCCCCTCCTACCTCCACCCACCATAACTACATCCCTGATTGTGTACATTGGTTGTTTTAAAAAATTAAAATGATCTATTTGTTATTATTAGATATGGCCTGATAAAGAAATTGGAAAAAAAAAGAAATAAATTAAAATTTTGAAAAAGTCAAAATAATTATAACCCATACAGTATCCCATTGAGAATATCCCATAACTCTATCATGGAGCTGAATTGTGTACAGGCGAGGAGGACTGTGAATACTTAGCTGCCATAAAGAGGCAGTTATATAGTAGCTTTATTTTACATCATTACACAATGACAGGGGCTGAAATCAAGGACTTAAAACTGTTACTAGGATAGGAAACTGGCTGGTTTATGTCGTCTAACTTGAATTAGCCTTATTTGTGGTATTGTTATGCTAATGAGCCAGATAAGCACAATCTGCACATGCTCAGAAAAACAAAACTTTCCTTAGCCACACTGCGAATTGGCTAGGCATACAGCTAGGCCTAGGCGAGAATTACTGTACGGTAAAACAATACAAAATAAGGGTACTAATTTCACTTGGCAATTGTGTACACTGGGCCTAGGGTTTGTAGTTCTTATCCGAGAAAATTTGTTCCACCAACAGAACCATAGGCAAGCATTCCGTTCCAACCAGCGCCGATATTATGGCTGTACGTTGCAATGCGCCTGCCTTAAATGCTTGACCGTTCAATTCCTACTGCTATTAATACAATTATCATTATTATTTAAATACTGTATTTTAAAACAGCTCTACTTTCTATATGTGCACTTTAAAGAATGCAGTACATCTTTCGAGTAGACTAAGGGTTTACCCCCCGGTGTACTGGTTCATACAGCTCCTGATGTGGACAGACGAGAGTTACCGGTAGCTGATACCTGTTTACCGGGTACCTCAGACATGAAGAGACCCTTAGGGTAGATGAAAATTACTGTATGAGCTAGTCCACACCTTGATCGCTTTAAGACTTCGGTATAAAGTGCTATATAAATCGAACTACATCCTCATCACATCAGTACAGGATTACTGTTGGTTAATAATATGTAGAATGAATTTTTGTTTCTTTTTATTAAATTTGAAATCTTGAATTAAATGTTGTTTTTTTTTTAAATATTGATTCATTTTCATTTTGTAATTTAAGAAATATTGTTAATTAACTAAATAAGATAACTTGCGAAAATAATAATTTTGGTTTTCTATATATACACATATACTATAAAATACTTTAAATAATATGATTAACTTATTTTTTATACTGATGGATAAGTGTCTTTAGGTCTAATTTGTATAACGTAAAAAATTGTGATTCAATTGCTAGCTAGATAATATGGAAATTGAGAACCGAATGTTTGTTTTTTATTCTTTTTTGTATTTCTAGAAATATTGTTAAACTATAATTTATTCTTTTATATTTACAAAAATGTGTTTTAATTATATACTTGGCTGTCCCAGAAATATACAGTTTTTGAAATAAAGTCTTCTTTAATAATCTTGATCAGTTCTAATTATTAAAGGGATTTTCATCACTATAAGCTTTTGCTTCAGAATTCTCCCTTTCCTTTTTTATTGCACTTTTTTTTCTATGTTTATTAGTTTACAAAATAAATGGTATGTTACAATTTACACATGGAAAAAAGATAGAGAAAGGAAATAAAAAGAAAAAAAAAATAACTCACTTATATTTTGCAATATCAATACTTGCAGATAATGATGGAAAGTCAGATTCGCTGTTAATTTCTGGTGCTACAACCTTCTTTCTCCTCCTGAATCTGTCATTAGCTGGTGTTGATGAAGGCATCTGCTCAGCCATTGCCCCAGCCCGCTTAGCAGGGGGGATGTACTTGTTGGATTTAGGGGGTTCTGGTTCTGGTGCAGCCGGAGGGGCTACTGGTTCTGGTGCCGGTTTTTCTACTACATCGACTAATTAGAAATAAAATATTATAGATATTAATTTAATTACCAATGACTACATTACTGTGACACTTTTATGAATGAAAAAATTGGAAAGTATTTACCACAAATTTATTGCATATTAATTAATAATTTATGAAGAAAAATTATTCTGTAAAAAGAGATACTTTAAAAGTGAAATATTGGATTTTTTTTCAGTCAAATTTAGAGAAACATATCATTATTTTGTATTATTATTTTCTAGTAGGCTTTTATAATTTTCTGTTGAGATGGATATCATGTTAAATATAACCTATAGGTTAATATTATGAATTAAGAATTTTTTTGTACAGTTAGTCCTTGCATATCGTGTGCACAGTCCAAAATGCAGGGCCCCCGCGTACATCGCAGGCACTGTTGGTAGCCTTAAATTGACATAATGTTCGTTTCTAAAAATCTTGACCACGGGCTGGCTTTGTCGCTCGGGTAGATGGTGGATGTGGAACACGATGCCTATTGGCAAAGTGAGATTTAAAAAAGTGCACTTCTGCGATCGGTACTGTACTAGGGCTACTGTAGCGCTCTGAATAAAATGTATTCCTGCATGAGTAAGGGGTCAGTGGCGGGTTGTGATTTATGGCTGAATTTTTCTGAACTGGATCGTCAGTCTAAAGGTTTTGCAGAGTGCTGTTCTAAGTAACATTATTATACCTGTGGGTTGTTCTGGTAAGTACCTGTCTCTTATACACATCTAGATGTGTATAAGAGACAGGGGGTTGGTTGATGGGGTGGGGGAAATTGCCAAATGGAAGGACTGATAATTAGTAGGCGGTGCTAGCTGGCAAAATATGGCAATATGGGGTGATTTTTTGCTGAGCATATTCCAAAGGAGCAGGGGAGCAACTGGGAGAAGCAAGCTTTTTTTTTTTTTTGGGGGGGGGGGAAGCACCCTAGATACGCCACTGCTTTTTGTACAAGCAATAAAGTTATATATGATTATATTAAAAATTAATGTTGAAAAATGTAGAAACAATAATAAATTAAATCATAAACAACCTGAATTCAAAATGTGGGTGTAGTTACAGTTTAGCATATACAACCATATATTGATTCAGGCTGAGGGTGTGGTTATGGGTGTAGCACAACCTACTGTAACTTGATGCAAACTGAGGGTGTTGTTATAGTGTAGCCAGATAAAATATGTAACCCATTTTAGTCTTGATTTAGTGTTGATGTCAAAGTTCCAAACAACTTGATTTACCAGCACAAACAGCCCTCTTGCCAGGATTTTTTTGAAGAGTGGCGGAATTTCAGAAAATGTTGTCCAAAAACTTTAAAGGGTGGTGCCCAAAATTGTAAAGGATGGATACATTTTTGGCACTACTTATGGTGTCGGATACAACGTGGTATGACCCGTGTCTCACAATTTGAATTTTATTATTAGTAGATTATCTACCTATTCAAATCGATCAAATAAGCCTCCTGGACCAATTTTGAGATAATTTGAATGACGCCCACCTCGGGCTACCCCAGCATATTTCCCCCCTATAATTTTACGCGGTACCTTGGTTTAGCCTTACATTTAAAAAAAATACTCAGCCGAAATTCAGTATAAAAAACATGTTTCATAAGAAATTCACATAAATTCAACTAATAAATTTTGTTTTATCAATAACCGTTCATAAAAAACAGACATTTCACCAAATATTGCAATTGTCACACTTGTACGGTACTGAACTAGCCGCCCAGGGATCTCTCTGAGTTCACAGGTACCTACTTGCATGGACTGGCGGCATACAAAGAGATCCTGCAGTTGGGCTTGCATTGAAGGCGGTGCCTCACGATGATATGCTATTTAACAATTACTGTTCCCCATGGGTTTGACACTTCGGTATTTATTGTTGTAACGTTTTGAATAAAAATAATGTACATAGTAAATATTTTTTGAGCGTGGCGCTAAGATTTTAAGTGTGGTGCAATCTGTGCTTATTTTTCCTAAGCGTGGCGCTCATTTCGTTTTATTCGCCCAAGCGTGGTAGTCCTACCGTGCTTAAGTATAGCTAGCGAGATCCCTGACGAATGTTACTCCAATTAAAGAAAGGAAAGCCATGATTCGACGTTTCAACCTTTATTGGGTCATCTTCAGGAATGAATGACACTAATTACAAAAAATGCAAATGAGGGGATTATACCAGTCCAACAATGGTGCTTATGAGAGAGGCAATAGTGTGATTCACAAGAATGATCAGAAAATATACTTATTTATGTTAAATTTAACTGAAAAATAGAAGTTTATGCATAAGTACCCAATCTGTAAAGACTGTATCCTTAGTCCACTATAATCTTTCGTAGTTGGGTCCTCAAAGTCTTTCCATTCATCATCAGCCTAAAAGAAAGTAAATATTAAAACTTTATGCTACTGTACAGTACTGTAAATTTCTGAGTGTTTTTGATTGATTCTTTACTAGGCTTTGTCAGAAGGGACACTTTCATTTCAGCCATTGGTCAATGTTGCCTATTTAAAAAATGTTAAATCACCTCCAGGTTCTAATCTGCTTTAATAATTTGTTTCATAAAAATAAAATGCTTGTTTTTTTATTTAATTTATGATTGTAAATGCATTTACTGCATAACCATGGAGGTATAAAAATATTTTATAACCCCAAGGTATTAAATACTTCACTTACAAAAACAAGTGCCTCTTTATAACTTTTGTCATATATTTCGTAAGAGGCCAAAAGGACCGGAGCCAAAACAATCTAGCCCGAGCAGGTAAACGACTCAACTGACTCCTGTTTTGGCAGGGACAATTGAGCACTTGAATTCAATACAATGCCTTTATTAAATACATAAAAAAAAAAAAATCAAATCTTGATCTTGATGGCAAAATTTATGGTTTTGTGGATTAGTCTACTTTAAAAGCGTTTTTCTCAAAACATAATTTTGGTGGAACGTATTTTTTTTATCGTTTTGGTGACAGTTACAGCTAGGACTGGCCTAGCCTACTGTATATGCTAACTAGACTAGGCCTAGGCCACCTAAGGCCTACCTATGGCATTACTTAATAATAAACTAGGCCTAGTAGGATCAGTTTTTTTAAATGTTTTGCTGCTGTTTCTCGTAGGCCTAGGCCTACACCGTGTCCGTGACAGCTAACTCTGCTAGGCCTAGCCTAGTCAAAAATTTGATAACACTACTGTGTAGGCCTAGCCTAGGCCTACCACCCAGTGACTGCCACAAGAAAGAGAAGGGATGGTTAATTCATGGACATGGTATTATCTGTCACTACACACACTCTACATGAAGATAGCCTATCCAAGTTATATCTAACTTAACTTACTTGTGGAATTTCATTTGCTGGTTTTGTCGCATTATCTTCGCCGACTTCATCAGTTACTATAGCTGACACTTGTGCTGGCTTCTTTTCTTTCTTCGATTCCTTTTTCTCGCCATCTGCTGTTGTCGTATTCGTCGAAAGGGTTTTGGCAATCTGGTCTGAGGTAGTAAATTTACTTTTGTTAGACTTCGATTTTGACCTTTTGTTTTTGTCCTTTTTGGCAAAAAAGTCTTCAACTGATTTATCTGTCATATTCGCTGATAATAAATGTTCATTAAAAGAAGAAAATTACACCTGAATTAGGTTTTGACACATTTCCTGATGCCAAATAAATGCCCTTTCTAGCTCAATTGAGAAGTGTGGTGCGTCGACCGCATTCTCGATAGATCCTTTCTACAGGTTACAAATAACGACACTAAGCGGCCCGGGAGTGGAAATTGTACATTTGTATACCCATGGAGGTATAAAATACCTCCATGGTATACCTCATAATCTGTCTCAGTGTCCTATAAAATCACAATTTTGACATGAATATATTTAATAATAATATCCAATGTCATATATAAAGAAACAAATGAACTTTATGTTAAGAATATAAGGATAAAATCTGCAGTTTGTGTCCGAAATAATCCACTGTGCAGCATTTTACTTACACGGAGGAGCGTGAGGAAATAATGGACAAAAATCGATATTATACAAAATATTGTTTTAATAATAGAGAAAGTCGTTTACATTATTCTATATCTTATTTCTTATAAAACATTTAGTCACATAGTTTAGATATGTTACTAATCTTGTGAGCTTAGACTAGACAAATTAATACATCATTTTATTTTACTTCCTTTAATAAATAATGGAATATTCAGTGACTTTCGACCTGATACATTTTAGGGAGTTTCCCTAAATTTCACCACCAAAGTTGTACTGTTTATGTGCATTATAGACTCGAAACAATATCCTAACTAAGGCTGGTCCAGTTTATGATATACTTCAAGTATTTTGTTTAAATAAACGTAAACGGCACAGGCATACTGTTCAACCTTTAATAACTGAACTAGACTGTGTAGGCAGTACGACAGATCGTGTGAAATTCTACAGATAACGGGAGGAACTTTCCCGATGGATCGTGATGGATAGCAATCCAAGTGGGCTTGGCATGAGCTGACTGAGGACTTGGTGTTTGCTTGCTAATTGCTGTAGAACTTATGAGATTATATTATTATAATATGTGCCTGGCACAGAGTCATTGATCATTAAACTAAGGTAGGATAGTCTATTTAACTGACCCACCACCCACTGATTATCTTAAGTTTGTGTTAAATTGTAGTACGTTCCAACGATGTGCCAAGCGGTACCATATCCTAACACTATCTCGGAAATGATTTAGATAGGAAGCAGCTGGAACACTCACTATTACCGAGAAAGCGTACCGCATTGCAGCCACTGCCTACCTCTGCTAACTTGGCCTATGTGTGTTCTATAATACTGCGCTAATCCGATACTATAGTACTGTAGGGTAGGTGGATGTAGCATACTAGGCTAGACCTACACATAGAGTCACTTGTGTATGTACAGCACATTTTTTGTTCACACGAGGAAAACCCCGGAATTTTCAGCAATGTTGGACTTAATGGATAGCATTGTGAAAATGATAATATTGACACGCTATATTATACCAACAAAAAGGGGACGCCCCTTTTTATATAATGATGCCACTAAATACTGAAAAATATGATGATGATGATTAATATAATGATGGTGATGATGATGTAGTCGATGACAACAACAATTGCATGGAGATTTGTTACTTAGACTGTTTTTGCATCATATCTTAAGTTACCGTTTCATATTCGGCTTTAATAGGTTTTACCAGCTTTTACGTCTGTAATCGTGACAGCTTCGTTTATTGAATGGAATCACCAAGGTGTCTGGTGACTACTCCAATCTCCATCGAGATGGCCAGGAGTCATATGCAGGGGTGCCACCGGTGGGGTGCAGGGGCGGATTTGGGTTAGGATGCAGGCTCCGCCCCCTCCCCCTTTTGGAATGTAAATAAAAAGAAAAGAAAGAAAGAAAAAAAAGAAAAAATTGATCCCCAAAAACGAATCAGATGTTAATTTCGGCCGTCTAAAAACGAAAATTTCGCGGGTGCATGCCCCGGACCCCATAGTGTGGTGTTATTTTGATCGGTCCCACCCCACTTTCAGACCGCCCTTTCGGACTTCTCTGGATCCGCCCCTGGGGTGGGTGGGGGACAGGTCCCCCGTCAGAAAGAGCTGGCCCTCGTCCTAGAGAAAAAAAACGACAATTTGTTGGGGAGAAAAAAAAGTTATATGTATTTTCTACAGTTAGTATTCTCTAAAATCTGATAAATCATAGCTTTAAACGCCTAAATTGTCATATTTTCCTTAGTACATGCTCCCCGACCACTTTCAAAAGATTTTGCTTGACTCCCAACTACATCCACTTTGCTGAGTACCTCAAGGACTCCTTGAAATTTGATGAGAATGACAACTGTTCAGGTGATCTGTCATGGTAGCTCCAGAAATTTTTCATTTTTTCACTGAGAGCATATTCAGCGGGTGGGGCGGTCTGACTAGAGCCTCGGTCCTGTTTTAGTGTCATACGTTTTCATAGTGTTTAGCAGCTTTGGTTTTTGTTTAGGAAAACTAATCATTATAGGAAGATAAAAGATTGATGTCCAACTGGTCCAGAGTAAAGTGGTCTTTCATTGGAGGCAGGTCTTTAATTGTAGGGATCTTTTATTTTATGGAGAACTATATTTTGATTATCTATCACGTTACTTTATCATTTTCATTCTAAAATAAATTCCGAAATTACGCCAGAAAATTATTATATAATGGTCTGGTGGCGTCTGACGAAAAATGATGGTCATGACGACGATTATAACGACAAGATAATGATGACAAAACTTTTCTACAATTCATCAGATGAAATCGCTCTGTTCATTGAAAGCTATAATCCAGAGTGTAGGCCCAGTAGATTTATAATAATATTGATAAGAAGATAAAAAGTTAAAAATTATTAGAATGTATAGTGCTCGACCTGTGCCGGACATAACCCCTCCAATATTGAGGAGTTTCGTGATGACGTTTGATGAATTCGTGATGAATATTTGGTGTAATACATGGTTTTGGTGGTGTGCAATGATGATGAAGAGGATGAAAATGAAGGTGGAGCTGATTGGTGATCATAGATATGATGATGAGGATAAAGATTATGGTGATATGTACGGTTGTGGTGGGGATGATGATGAGGATAATAGTGGTGTGGGCGATAATGGTTGTGATAAGTGTCAGATGGTTCTAAAGTTGAGGCTGTCTCTTATACACATCTAGATGTGTATAAGAGACAGTATTCAGCGGGTGGGGCGGTTTGACTAGAGCCTCGGTCCTGTTTTAGTGTCATACGTTTTCATAGTCTTTAGCAGCTTTGGTTTTTGTTTAGGAAAACTAATCATTATAGGAAGATAAAAGATTGATGTCCAACTAGTCCAGAGTAAAGTGGTCTTTCATTGGAGGCAGGTCTTTAATTGGAGGGATCTTTTATTTTATGTAGAACTATATTTTGATTATCTATCACGTTACTTTATCATTTTCATTCTAAAATAAATTCCGAAATTACGCCAGAAAATTATTATAATGGTCTGGTGGCGTCTGACGAAAAATGATGGTCATGACGACGATTATAACGACAAGATAATGATGACAAAACTTTTCTACAATTCATCAGATGAAATCGCTCTGTTCATTGAAAGCTATAATCCAGAGTGTAGGCCCAGTAGATTTATAATAATATTGATAAGAAGATAAAAAGTTAAAAATTATTAGAATGTATAGTGCTCGACCTGTGCCGGACATAACCCCTCCAATATTGAGGAGTTTCGTGATGACGTTTGATGAATTCGTGATGAATATTTGGTGTAATACATGGTTTTGGTGGTGTGCAATGATGATGAAGAGGATGAAAATGAAGGTGGAGCTGATTGGTGATCATAGATATGATGATGAGGATAAAGATTATGGTGATATGTACGGTTGTGGTGGGGATGATGATGAGGATAATAGTGGTGTGGGCGATAATGGTTGTGATAAGTGTCAGATGGTTCTTTTGGTGTCTGAAGATGATGATGGAATCACCGGAATCTCACAGCCTTTGTGTGCCCGTTCTCTATCGGCGAAGTGAGCAAAAACAAAAATGGTACCTTTGAGACTTACGTAATTATCTCACGCCTTTTAAAAAGTACCGAAAAAACACGTGATTTTTCACTCGGTGAAGACAAGTGAGTATCTGTATCTTTCTTTATACAAAACGGATTTTGTGCAAATAACTACCAAAAGACGCAGCATTATTAAAGGTGTATTCTGATCCCTATTTTTGTCATCGGGGTTTTTAAAAACAGTTTAAATTTAAAGAATAGAGTATTGTATTACAACGTTTATATCTTCTTTTGCTATCTTTTTCAGCTTTACCCCTAGCAGCTCATCGTTAACGCAGCATGGGCGAACGAGAGAGTGTAGAAGATTCAGATGCAACTTCAAGCATTCGAAATTTCTCTAGGAAACGTCGTGTAATAATTTTTGGTGATACTAGAGTTGGAAAAACAGCTTTGCTCAACAATCTCATGGGGTTACCGGATTGTTGTGACACTGTTCCGACTGATGGCGTTAACACGACGTTCTGCGAGGTGACAAGTAAATGTTCAACGTGGAGTCTTCAAAAACAGCACTTTGGTAAATTTAAACCATATGAGACATGTATACCGCCACCAACGGTTATTGCTCAATGTTCACGATTAATAGCTAAAGATTTTTTAAAGGATTCTCTCGACTTTTATACATCTGTATGTGTTATACCATTTTATATATGGATTGGATTACTGAATATTGGAATCGGGGCCTTGTTTTTAGCGGTGTTATTCACGTTTCAGCTATTCGTGTTTATTTTAAGACGTAAGCATTCCTTTCAATCGATTCCTCGAATTCTTGACGCTACACTGTTTCTAACGTTTGTAAATATTTTACTGTCATCAAAAGATGTAGAAGTGCATGAGGTTGCTAAACTGGATCGTCTCTTTGTTCCCAGATTAATCGTTTTAACTATAATATGTATCGTTGTGGCCCAGTTTCAGTGTAGATTTGGAATCACGTTGGCTCTAAGTTTTTTCCAATTTTCACAGACACGTCACAGTGAGTTTATGGACGTTTCATGTTATAAAAGTGGATTGCGATTCATTACCAGTAGCATTTGTATATGTGTGTTCATATTTATTATTCGATGGAGAACTTTCAATCTAAAAATTAGCACAGCCACTGTTGCCATGTGTTTAGTCCTTCTGACATTAATTTCGTATTTTGAATTACTTGCATATCCATTAATTTTCTTCTTGGCAAGCATTTCTGTCACATTCACGACCATTTTGACTATTCACATTGCAAGATGCTGTGGAGCAAAGTCGTACTCGGAGGTTTCAGCCATTAGGCCTAAATTTCAGTGCATTGGAATTGTCATTGGTGTCATTACAGCGTACGTATTTGGTTTGGGAAACATTGTACCTAGATGTTACCACTCATGTATTGAAATCAGTTTCAATGTTGTAATGGTTATAGTTCATTATTGTAGTATTGACTGGTCTATAATTGATAGGCCTGATCCAGATATTCCCCCCAAAGTTGAGCGAACTATTGATTCATTTCAGTTGACGGTTTTCGAATTTTCTAACGAAGTTCAATTTGGAAACTTATTCCATGACTTCATTACCCGGGGTGATGTGTACATGCTTGTGTTTAAATTAAATCGTGATGTTCAACTCGAAAAACAGTGCCAAATATTATTGAAACGTTTACGTGCCTACAAAATAAAGGGGCAGAATTGCCGGCAAAAGTCGCTCTTGCTCGTGGGAACGCATAAGGTAGAGGTTACTCAGTGTTACATGGATTCGCTCTCTAAACTCTTAAGGGATCAGATTGACTCAAGCGAATGGAATGTTATGGCTGGTAGAAACACTGTGGAGCAGATACTATATGCTGTAGACAACACCGACATGCAAAGTATGCAATTCGACGATATTAGACGTGGGTTATGGGCACGATTAATATCACAAAAACACAAACAGAACGTCTCAATGATGTATACCAATGTACGCGGGGAGTCTGTGCAATTATGTGAAGGGAAAGTTAACATTCTCCAAGAGAATGGAAGTCAATCCAGTTCAGAAGTCGATGTTGGTGATCTTCTGAATACTGTTGTTTGCCTATTTACTGACACATACGTTTCTAAAAGTGAAGACTTAGGTACGTGGATGGTAGGCAAAGACAGGCTTCAAAGCATCTGTGATTTGGCGCCCAACTTGCTTAAGACTTTGCAAGATATTGACTTGATCGTTTACAAGCCGACTGAGGAACTTTATTTGGTACCGTCACTTCTACCAGCTTATTCCCGCAACATCAACGAGATCTGGTGCCGTGCAGATGGAGACGCTGAATTTTACCTTGCTTTTGGCCGCGTATTTCACCGAGCAGTACTGCATCTCCTTGTACTTTATTTTGTCGAAACGATGAACATAACTTCGAATAAGCCTGTTGTTTTTAGCAACATTGCACTTCTTTGCGTTGAAGACATTAATTTTTTATTGGAAATGATCACAATCCCAGATAAGAACCAGCATTTTATCCGTATTTCGATACGCGATTCATCTAAAAATCCTCTTTATCTGAACATCTTGCATTTGATTTTGAACCGTCTCAAGTTGATATGCAGGCACATATTTCCAGATTTAGATTACAGTTGTGGAATCGCGTGTCCAAAATCTGGTAGTGACTTTCATCTACTACCAATAGCGTCACGTGATCAACAGTTATCGTCAGACACTGATTTGACGATCCACCGCGAGTGCTGCGACAGGATCCATATATGGTTGCCAAAGCGCAACAGGGTAAGGATAAGAGCTCATGCAAAGTTGTTAAAATTAGGCATTTTTTTGTTCATGATGCACAGTAGGCCTGTCCAAACAAATGTGTATAATATACAACCAAAAAAAAAAAAAATA